TGTTGTTTGTACGTATCGTTTTGTCCTTTCTGTTCCGTTGGCCATGAGTATATGTCCGTAGTCCAAGAGGGGTCTGCAGATCGCTTTATATATTTTTGTCGCGGTATTTGTACTAATTCCTTTGTCCTTGTATGTTAGTGATCGAACGCGTTTTGTTCTTTTTATCATTTCTGTTCTGATGTTTCGTGTGTGTTTAGTGAATTTCAGTTTGTGGTCGATTGTAATCCCAAGGTACCTTACGTCGTTTTTCGGTTGTGTTATTTTTCCGTCTGCAGTTATTGTGGGGGAGTCAGCGTTGAYTCTGTGGTTCGTGAGCAGAAGTTGATTTTTTGTCGCGTTTGGCGTTAGTCTCCATTTATAAAACCATGTCATTGTGTTGTTTGTTAGTGTTTGGAGTCTTTCAGTCAACTTCAACTTCTTTCAACAACTTGTTAAGATGTGTCCACCCCAGTACATTTGGGCGTCGAATGTTGAATGCGACGAAATTATTTACGGTGAAAATTTACGTTCTTAACTTTTGTTTTGGCCTAAATGCATGCGGAGTGCTTGTGTATGGTTACGGTAAATTTTCGTCGAAATCATGTGTCGAAATCATATATGGCGAGCTTGGAAGAGCAAACCGTTGCTGCATCGCGAAAAAATCAGAAACCCGTGGGAAAAATTAAATTATGGCTGTTTTTGGTACGTGGCCGCAGACGGAACTACTGTGCGCGGTCTCATCGAGTTTCAAGGTCTTTGATAGTTTCGTTATCTAGAACCGACTACATTTATTATTTCCTCTTCTTCGATTCGCTTTTTTTGGTTAAGTTAGGAAGACATGATGTCTACACCGCACGCAAATTAACTACCAATCACTTTACCCGCACATAATTTATATTTTACAGGTATTTGTGATTTTTAGCCGAGAGAACACTATAAGATCGAGAAATTGTTCGCAAAGAGATGCGTTTAGACTCAACTTTCGGATTTTTTTCGGTATTGATGCCGCACCACAAATATACACGGTTGAACATTAAAAACTCCAGTTTTTCAAGTTTCTGATGATGTTTAGTAGATTTTCTAGCAGATTGATAATATCAGGCACATATATTTTGCGTGCTTTTTTCTGCAGGAAATGGGTGCAGAGTATTTCAAAGTTCACAAGTACTCCAACCCGTTCAACGCCAGTCCAACCAGCATCGCCGTTGAAGGCGATCTCTGTGTTTAAAGGTAGAGATTTTATCGAACACATTTAGACTGCCTAAGGCTAAACCATCTCCCGTTAATTGCGATAAGATTCACTTTAGGTCGAACATTCAGCGAAATAAAACGCATTTTAAGAGAAGTGTTTTTTATTTTTTAGTGTTTCAGGCAACTTTCCACGATTGGTTAAGTCATTCTTTAAACGACAACAATTAGGATTCACTTCAAAGATCTGAAATCCGGTAAATTTCTCCTAATAGTTCGTACTCTGTCGCATTTACAAAATATGTTACAAGTTACAACAATCTGCACTACACCATAAATAACTAGGCCCTTAAAACTAACAACAATACTATTTACAGCCGATGAACGATTTTTATGCATTTAAATAAACCACTGCCCATTGACTAAATTCATACTTTATAATCTTAACGCTAATTATTACACTAGGGATTTTACGCGTATGTAATGGTCATTTACACATCGGAGACGAGTATTAGATAAAAGTGTTTCGAGGACTTTTGCGTCCAACCGGTGAAATGAGCAACACAGAAACAACGAAAAAAATGTAAAGAATGTCGTTGAAACACTTTGGTGCACAAAAATCCATTCCACGTACAGTTTAGGAACACCCATGTTCTAATCAAATAGACGATTCTTCTATTCAGTTCAGCACGCCCAATTGCGATTTCAGTGGCTGCTCCTTTCGCTTACATTAATCAGTCTTCACAGAAGAATAGAGCAGTGACAAGATCAAGAGATTTTTCCAAAGCAGATGAAAAAGGGAATCGGATGGACTCGTTTAGAAAAATAATATTTTTACAGGCGTATTTGTGGTTGATTTTATTTCAACCACCGTCAGACCAGTTGGTACAATCACACGAAATCTCAATTTAGTAACAAAAAACTCAACAATTATCTACTGGGAATAATTTCGTAATAAAGCGCGGCTATGTACATCGTAAAAATTTGCTAAAAAAATGCACGGGCACAAAGAGTTAAAAATTAAGTCACTATACACGTAAAAAGGTCGTTGGCTGGCTGGGGGGTGATTTTGGATCTACAATTTACTATCTACAATTAAACAGTAAATAAATACATTTTCATAGAAAACAATTACCTCCCTGAATCTATATACAATGTGCCGATTTCATTCCTTCGGGATTGATCTTGCCCTAGTCACATTTGAAGGCATTGACGATATTCCTAGAGAGCTTCTAGTGTATCGCATCACTCCTCTTTGGCTCCAGCTGCTCAACACAGAGCTAGACGAACTGTACAGGGTCAGACAGCCGGAAAATTACGCTGGCCTTGTATCAGTGTGCGAAAATAAACAAATAAACTGATTTTGAATCGATGCGTTGTTTTGATTTGTTCCCTGGCCGTTGATTTTTAGTAGCTCTCATTGGCATCGATCCGCGAGATCCTGGATGAACTAGCGATGCCCGCACGTTAAGCCGCTGGTTCTCGGTAGAAAGGGTTGACGCCCTTGATGGGCAACGGATGGGCTTCCGTGTTGTACACCCATTGGTCCAGCGAGTAGAAATCCTCGTCGGAAAATAGCAGGTACAGGTACTAGTGGGAAAAGTTTAATGTTTTAACACGGTTTTTGGTAGAACAGCAGCAAGAACATGATATTTAGTCAGACAGAAGTGAGGAATTTATTCATGCTGGGTGTTGATTCATAGCTGCCAGCCCAAGTTAAATACTACTCGCGGCTAAATAGGGGATCGAAACATGTAAGAAACTTTAAAAACCCCAACCAAAACATCAGAAATTCAACCCAATTTAACGCACGTGAACCACAATAATGAAACAAAAAGCAAAAAACAGCCACAGATAAATTGGACTGTTGAGAGAAAGACATAACAATTTAACAACAGTTCTAAAGGAGAAAAACGGCAAAGAAATCGTCAGAATTAAGCATAAAAATGGTAAACAGAATCTCAAAGAATCATGGACAAATAGGATATACGGTTTCAAGGGCCAGATAGTTTAAACTCTAAGTCGTAAGGTTCAGACAATACAACCACGGAAAAACCTAAAGTTCCTGAATGCATCCCATAACATCACTCGAAAGAGATAATCGGCTGCTTAAAGTGAGGGAAAACTCACTTAAATAGGACATTTTTGGTGTTTCCAAGATTTCCAGTTACTAAGGGGAAGCGATTGGCCGTTGGCAAAGACGGATTTAAAAAAAATTCAAGGAAAAACCAAACCAGGGTTTTTTCAGAAGCTAAATCGAAGCGATTGGTCGTTGGACAACACGGATTTTTCAAAATTTCGCCAACGAAAAAGCAAAAACTGAATCCCGCCCATAAGACCACTCGAAAGAGAAAATCGCCTGCTTAAAATGAGGAAAAACTCACTTTATTAGGAAATTTCTGGGAGTTTCCTAATAATCCGTCTGGTACGGACAGACATATCTTCAAAAAAATTGTCAAGGAAAAACCAAAAATCTCTCAAGCCTGCCCAGAATATTAGAAGATTAATAAATCTTCAAACTAGTCGTTGAATATGAATAAATGAACGCAAGCGTAACAATCAAAATAGAAGTTGAATAAAATGGGAAAAAAATTTAGCTTGCAAAACTTCGTAGGAACCTCAGCTGGAATAATTCTAAACAAACTTACCTTCAACGTTTCCGCCAAGAAGAAACTCTGCTGCACATCGTCCTGCTGGGGATCTTCAGAGTACACGTTCTTGATTCCCGTGTAGCCGCCAGGGACTCTGCAATGTTTCTCCAGCGCCTGCAATTAATGCAATTCCTTAAAGAAAGCCCCGAAGGAAATATCAACGAATCGAACCTGGACGGCTTCCCAGCCCCAATCTCTGTACTTTTCATCTTTGGTCAGCCGGTACAGGTAGAAGTACGACTCTATCGTTTCCGGTCTGAGAATGTAGTATTTTTCTGAGCTTTTGAGCGCTCTGGCCTCGGCGCCCTCGGAGAATCTGGAAATAAATAATTTGCTCTGGAAATACGCTCTGGGAATGGTGTCAAGGAGAATTTGCAATAAAGAAAACTCGTACCTGAAAGCCTCTGGACCCAATTTTGTATGCGTCTTGACATACGATTCATGGCAAGTATTCGTAATCTTCTTAGCCACGTCCATGTATTTCGAAGCGCGGTCGTTCTTCAAGGTTCTGGACGCCAAAGCTAGCATTCCGCCTAAAAATCACCCGACAGCTTTTAGTACAGACCACTTTTCTAACCAAACGTCGAATCTTACCCGAGAAACACGCTAAATGATCCATCTTGTGTTCGAGTCGCTCGAACTTAAGATCCGCAAAATAAGTCAATCCAGCCGGGGATTCGTGCAGCATGTATCTGAATGCTGCGTCCATCGATTCGTCGAACATTTGCCGAGCTTCGTTGTCCTGTTTGCCACTTTGCAGCCACGCTTTCAGCAGATATTCGTAGAAACTGTCCCCTAAGGCTCCCATTGACATGTGATCTGGAATAAATGGGAAAAAATAGTTGATTTGGGGCTTTTTTAAATTCAAAATCGACATTTTCGAGCGATTTCGATGTTTTAGGCTGACGCATAGAGCGAGTTGCAAATGGAGAACAGGAACGAAAACAGTACAAATATAACAAATTATGATAAGAAAAACACTGAAAAAAAAGCTGCAATTGCAAAGCTAAGAAGACTGAAAGTGAAAGTTGCTGAAGACAGCAAAAGTGGTCACTGCGACAGAAACAGGCCATGAAACAGTACAAACTATAACAAATGATGACAAGAAAAGAACTCAAGAAAAAATTGAATTGCAAAGTTAAGACGATCGAAAATGAAAGCCACTATTTGTGGCTTTTTACAAAAAAATCGACATTTTTGCGTGCTTTCGATTCTTTAGACTGACGGACAGAGCGATTCGCAAATGCAGAACAGGAAAGAAAACAGTACAAAATATAACAACTGATGACCAGAAATGGACTAAAGAAAAACTGAAAATTGCAAAGATAAAAAGACTGAAAGGGAAAATTTTGATGAAAGCAAAGTGGCCAGTGCGGGAGGAACAGGAAATAAAACAGCACAAAACAAACAAATTATGACTAGAAAAGAACTAAAGAAGAAACTGAAATTGCAAAGTTCAGAAGGTTGAAAATTAATAAACTTCCATCTTGTACTCATTTCAATGGTGCCGTTAATAACATACATAAACGTGAAATGACGACGCTGTAAGACGCACTCAGAATCCTATTTCACAAAACGTACCCAAATACCGATCATAAAATTTAAAATTAGATCACTTTGCTTGTGTTTCCCGATGCCTTCGTGAGGACAAACTGTACTATTTTGCAATGGCGGGTTTCGAATGGTCTAAATTAAGTAAACCAAAAATATTCCACTGCAGTGAATGGACCGAGAGTTAAATTCGGAAATATGAAGATCGACTCAAAAAAAGATGTAAATCATAGCTTAACATTCCAGAAAACATCCCGAAAAACAAAATTTACTTACGTTGGCCCCATTTCCCACTTCTGGGATTCAAGTAGTTTGGATAGAGCCCATTCGGCTTCTCAATGGTATTCAAAACCTGCCTGATCTTGTTCACTTTGTTCCTGTAAATGGATTTTCCGGTCATATCGCTCAGATAGGAAAACTCCAAGTGAAGCGTTCCAAACTCTGATAGGATGCTTGAGCTGCCGCTAGCCCATCCATAGTTCTTACTGGACTGAAACAGAAAAACACCCATTAACTGTGGCTAAATCCAAAGGACGTTTCTCCTTAAGAATCTTGAAATACACAAAACTAGATTCAGGAGAAGATTCAAGTTACTTACTCCACTTTTGAAGTTGACCAATGCGTTGGGAATGCCAGTTGGAGTGTTAAAAGCAGGCAGCAACTTGTCAGCGATTTGTTGAGCTTTGTCCCTGAATAAAACCTCCCCAGTTAGGGCGTAGCATGTTAGAAGACCGCCGATGAACCGGATGTTGGTTTCAAACACGGATACATCAGCAACCTGAAAGGAAAATGGAAATTTGACAATTTCCTACAAAGTTCTGTTGCAGACGAACAATAGGATATTAACAGAATCGGTTTATGTTTGTGTAATTTTTTCCCTGGCCACAAAGCGCATGGTTTGATTCACTGATTTTTAGTGATGTTTTTAAATTTTGTCTTCTAATGTCTGGTAAATGAGCCAAAAGGCTGACAATGTCGCTTTAAATGATGAGCGAAAATGAACACTACCGCATCTTTTAAATATTCGTATATTTCTATCCCGAGTAGCTTGCTCGTACAATAAATTCGCACAAGAAATAAAAAATTCAACATTTCATTCAAATCGGGCAGGATCCTGATTTTTCGCTAATTTCTGAATGATGGTCGAAGAATAAGCGTTTTTATACACGTCATAACTAACATCAACCTCACACTAACCTATAGAAGACACTTGTAGCTAAAAACGCTGAACATTTCACTGAAATCGGGGAAACACCTGATTTTTTGAAAGTTTGTGAATGATGGTCGGAAAATAATCGATTCCGCCCACCTGCACGACTTCCCTTAAAAATTTGCAACATCCAATAAAGCGCAGGCATCTACCTGAAATTCATACAGCCTATAGAGGACACTTGTAGCTAAAAACTCTCAACATTTCACTCAAATCGGGAAAAAACCTGATGTTGTCAAATTTGTGAATGATGGTCGAAAAATAATCGTTTATGCTCAGCTGCACGACTTCCAACATTCGTAACTTCCAATAAAGCACAGGCAGCAGCTTGAAATTCATACAACCAATAGAGGACACTTGTTGCAAAAAAACCCTTAACAATTTACTCAAATCGGGCAAAAGCTTGATTTTTTGAAAATCTGTGAATGATGGTCGAAAAATAATCGTATATGCCCAGCTGCACGTTTCCTTTAAAAATTCGCAACTTTCAATAAAGCGCAGACAGCAATTTCAAATTCATACAGCCTATAGAGGACACTTGTAGCAAAAAACTCTCAACATTTTCCTCAACTCGGAAAAAGCTTGATTTTCTGAAAATTTGTGAATGATGGCCGATAAATAATCCTTTATGCCCAGCTGCACGTCTTCCTTTAAAAATTCGCAACTTTCAATAATGCGCAGACAGCAACTTGAAATTCACACAGCCTAAAGAGGACACTTGTAGCTAATAACCCTGAAGATGTCAGTCAAATCGGAAAAAACCCGATTTTTTGAAAATATGTAAGCGAAAAATAATAGTTTATGCCCAGCTGCATGTCTTCTTTAAAAATTCGCAACTTTCAATCAAGCGCAGGTAGCAACTTGAAATTCACACAACCTGTAGAAGACACCAGTAGCTAAAAGCCCTCAAAATGTCACTCAAATCGGGCAAAAGCTTAATTTTTTGAAAATGTTTAAATGATGGTCGAAACATAATAGTTTAGGCCCAGCTGCATGTCTTCTTTAAAAATTCGCATCTTTCAACCAAGCGCAGGTAGCAACTTGAAATTCCTACAGCCTATAGAGGAGACTGTAGCTAAAAACTTAACATTTCAGTCAAGAGCAGGAAACAACTTGAAATTCGCCTGATTCGAAAAAGCCTGATTTTTTTAAAATTTGTGAATGATGGTCGAAAAATTTACATTTTTGTCCAGTTGCACGTCTTCTTCAAAAATTCGCAACTTTCAATCAAGAGCAGGTAGCAACTTGAAATTTGCACAACCAATAACAGACACTTATAGCTTAAAACCGTAAACATTTCATTCAAATCCGGCAAGATCCTGATTTGGGCACTTTAAAAGAGGGGCGCGCTGTTAAGTGGACCTCGTCATTTTGGATCACCATTCACAGGCTTAAAATAAATCAAAACTTTGTGCAATTCAAATAAACTTCAGTTTCGAATACCTTCTACATAGTGCGCAAAATTCAGGTTTTAAAGTTCAAAATTCCGTCATCTGCCCTGGATTTTAACTCGAACATTTTTAGAGAAGAGCACACAGTTTTTATATTTGGGTCAGAATTCACGCGCTTTGTAAAACTCAAGGTTTCGGTGATTCGAATAAAACTTTCAACATTTCCAGCTTCAACGTTTTACGACGTGACAAATAACTGTGGTTAACAGTGGCAATATTTTCCACTTTTTTGAAGCAATTAATTTCATTGCGTCTTTTATGACTTAAATCGACATATTCCTTGAACAGTTCGCTGTTCCAAACAATTCCATAATAAACTCAATACATTTTCGTTAAAGTTAATCGAATTAATTTTAGTCTTTTCCTAACGAATATTAACCACCTTAGATACAAGAATTTTCAATTCAAAATTACCATTTACTTAATATGTAGTAGCATCGTTGGCGATTTATCTCTTGAGCAAATACGTATATGAGCGTACACACATTATTGTTCAGATAGACGAGTATTAAACACTCATAAATTTTTTCCAATTAGAACAATGACTCATTAGTCCACCTATTCAAACAGTGTGTTCAAGTGATGATTTATGATATAATTTATGGTTAATGATTCTCGTCATAACGTGACATAAAGCATCTTGTTTTCAAATTAAAGAAACACGATTGAAATAAAAATAGAATAAATATAATTACTCGTTGATAATACAAAAACAATGCAAATTGATGAAACCGCGTGTTTCTATTGATACAAACTCGATTTGCAAAAAGCCCGATGTTTTGTCAATTTTCCATTCAGAATCGATGCAAACAGCAGGTATTTAATGCCCGATGAAATCGGCGTGTCGAAATAAGGAAAAACGGCCACACAATGGCTTTTTCCGTTTTGTGTATTTCCGCTCAAACGAGTCCTGAGAACGAATTTAAGTAGCTTTAACTACTGGCTGCCCGCTGGAACTAGCATGGCCAAGAAAGCGTTAAACTAACGAGACATCTTGAGGATTCATCTATTTTAATGGCCACTACGTGATTGGAAATTTACTGAGCACATTCGAGTCGGAAAAAACCCAAAAAGCTGGTGTTTGTGATACTCAAAGCCGAATGCGTTGAACCCAACATAGACTCGTTTAGAAGTCATTCAGATGAAAAAAAATGCACTTAGCAGCGACAATTATCTGGAACAAGCTTCCTTTTAGAAAGCTAGTCAGTTAGCAAAAGATGGGAAACGAAAATAACCTTAACAAGGAAATGCGGAGAGTTAAATTTGTAAAAGTGTATACCTGCAAACTCTGTATGAAAATGGATATTTAAAGGACGGAGCTTACAGCGAAGAGCCGTTGCCTTCTCTAGGCACTCACACCACGGCTCAGAAGGAACCTCGCTCTGAGCCTCTGAGACCTGGCCACGTGTCCAATGGAAGAAACAAGCTCAACTTTCGCTTGAATGAATTATTGAATCAACCCTTGTAGAAATGTCCTCATGAAATTTGGCTCAAGATTGAAAAATTCTAGAAAAGTCCTTGATGGAGCCAACAGTTTGAAACTGTTCTAGTATATACAGTGGATTTTCACTCAATTGTGACAAAAAATCCAGGCCTTTATCTGCATTACTTTGCCTAAATGAATTATTGAACCAACCCTTGAGAAATGTCCGACTGAAATTTGGTTCAAAATTGAAAAACTCTAGAAAACTCCCTGATGATGCCAGCAATTTGAAACTCTTCCGAATACAGTGGATTTTCACTCAACTGTGGCTTAAATCTCAGTTCTGTATATGTATTAATTTTGTCTGACTGAATTTTTGCACTTACCCTTGTAGAAAGGCCCGCATGATATTTGGCTCAAGATTGAAAAAATCTAGAAAACTGCCTGATCAAGCCAGCAATTCGAAACATTTCCAGTAAATACACTGGATTTTCACTCAACTGTGACCAAAACTCCAGGCCTGTATCTGTATTACTTTCGTCTCAATGAATTATGAAATCAACCTTTGCAAAAATGTCCTCACGAAATTTGGCTTAAGATTGAAAAATTCTAGAAAAGTTCCTGATGAAGTCGCCAAATTTGAAACATTCCCAGTATAAGAAATTGACATTCACTCATCAGTCACTACAATTTCAGTTCTGTATCTGTATGGGTTTCGACTGAATTAATGATTGAATCAACCCTGGTAGAAATGTCCGAATAAAACTTGGCTCAAGATTGAAAAATTCTAGAAAAGTCCCTGATGAAGCCAGCAATTCGAAGCTTTTCCAGTAAATACAGTGGACTTCCGCTCAACTGTGCCCAACATTCCAGTCCTGTATTTGTATTACTTTCGCCTGAATGAATTATTGAATCAACCCTTGTAGAAATATCCGCATGAAATTTGGCTCAAGATTGAAAAAATCTTGAAAAATCCCTGATGAGGCCAGCAATCTGGAACCCTTCCAGTATCTACAGTGGGTTTTCACTGAACTGTGACTAAAACTGCAGACCTGTATCTGTATTACTTTCGCCTCAATGAATTATGGAATCAACTCTTGCAGAAATGTCCGCAGGAAATTTGGCTCAAGATTGAAAAACTCTAGAAAAGTCCCTGATGAAGCCAGCAATTTGAAACTCCTCCAGTACATATAGTGGATTTTCACTCAAACCTTTGCCTGAATGAATTATTGAGTCAACCATTGTGTAGGAAATGTCCGCATGAAATTTGGCTCAAGGTTGAAAAATTCTAGAAAAATCCCTGATGAAGCCAGCAATTTGAAACTCTTCCAGTATATACAGTGGATTTTAACTCAACTGTGACTAAAACTCTACACCTGTAGCTGTATTACTTTCGCCTCAATGAATTATGGAATGAAGCCTTGCAGAAATGTCCGCACGAAATTTGGCTCAAGATTGGAAAATTCTAGAAAAGCAGCAATTTGAAACTCTTCCAGTACATATAGTGGATTTTCACTCAAACCTTTTGGCTGAATGAATTATTGAGTCAACCCTTGAAGAAATGTCCGCATTAAATTTAGCTCAAGATTGAAAAATTCTAGAAAAATCCTTGATGAAGTCAGCAATAGACAACAATCTTTGGATTGCTGTTTCAACCTGTTCTGGCGAATAGGACCACACAGAAAGTAAATTTTTGTGAATTTTTAACCATCTTTTTTAAGTTGTCAGTTGCGATTTTAGCACATCTAATGAATCCACCATTTGTTATGGAGATGGAAGCAGAACGAATGGAGAAACACTCAACAATGTCTTTCCACAAAGTTGCATTTTGAAGAGAAAAAAAAAATATGAGGGTCTAAAAAACAAGGATTTGCCACAGAACAATCACAGTTTAAAAAACGACGCGAATGAAACATGAAAATAATTAATAAAAAGAAAACAATTAATCACGATTACGACTCGATTACTAGAAACTAGCAACACTCCGAATGAAGCAACGTGAAGATTCAAAGGAAACATTTTTACAAAAAAAAAATTAGAAAACCGCGAACGAGTTTGGTTAATTTAAAGGTATTTTTTAAAATAAAGTGAGGCAAAACCTAAACTACCGAAAAATTTTGAATATGTTTCATAGGATGCACAATAAGATCTTAAAGTATTGTTTTTTGCAAACAATTGTGGACAACAAAATTAATATTAATAATAATAAAAAAACGAAATTTAATGAAACCTTTGTCTACCAAAAATCACATTTACGAAATGCGAATAACAAAAAAAATTTGCCAAACATTTTTAATTCTTCTACTAAAAAACACAATTTTCTACATTAAAAATTCAGCGCATTTTTCACAAAAATTGTCAGGCTTAGTTAGATATAAATCTAAACCATATTCTGCATACGAAGACATGAGAAGTTTCCTCTTTTGAAAAGACCAACTTTTCGAGGCAAAGTACCCAATAAAAAAGATTTGAAAACACCAATAACCTTGAAAATCAAATTGACGCAAAAAAACTTACCACATTATCAATATGGAATTCGGTGCTGATCCAATCCTTTGCCTGCTTGAACTCATCGTGCATGCCCATCATATAAAGGGTGTCCATGCTGTCCAAAATACTAGCGCCTAACGGTTGGGAGCCGAAGATGCTTCCAGTGTGCTCTTTTTTCGACACCGGTTTCAGCTCGTTCTTGCCCCATGCGTACTTCACGTAACTGTCCCAAGCATGTTTCATCATCTGCAAGAGATTAAGAAGAAAAAACCTGTCACACAGTGTATGCTATGTGGGTATCACATAAGAACAACCATTTAACTTGAGCAAACACTTCAAGCCCTGGCTGGCAATTAATAAAACGATTTCTCAAGATGGAAACCATCTGTTGGAGTACCCCGGTTGAATACTTTAATTGCAGCTCTGTGGATTTCGAGTCGCTCCATCAGAAAAATCACTAAACCGTTACCTCTTTCACTTTCAACTTCCGCTGGCAATTCGTATCGTTTTCGTCCGAGTATCTGGGAGAAATCAACTTCTTCTCATCCACATAATCCGTATCGTTGTCGCCATCCTGAAATGTTTCCCAGGAATCGTAATCGACTTCTTCAGTTAGATTTACATTCGGCTGAAGCACCACAGTGGTCGACTTATCTGAGGCAATCGTGCCGTTTGACCGGGACGACAAGCTGACCAATCGACTGATCAGCACTGATTGTCCATTTGAGGTGGGAGCTAATATTATGGAGTCTGAGGATGAGCGAGAGTTTCTGCTTAAGTAGACTGCAGTGCAGGCCATCACCATCAAAGTGCCGGAAATTCCAACTCCTTTAAGGGAATATTTTTTCGGTGAAGAATCAAGCAGTGATTTTCGGAATTGTGGAAGCGTTTACGAACAGAAACAGTGAGAAAAAAGGCAAAATCACAAAACTTATACAGGAATACCTGATAAGACTATGAAGAACTGTTATATATACGATTTTAGCAATACACATAAAACAAGTTTTTTCTTAGTTAACTGGCTTAAAGCTTAGAGCAAAAATTATTATTACGAATGCACTTTCTATGAAAAATTTTTTTTGACATTAATAATAATTGGAAGGAAAGCCACAAACGAATTGCGTTTTTTTTTTAATTAAGCGGGAAACAAGAACAATTTGCTGTCTGCTGCTCGAATAACCAACAATTTTTTCTCCGCTCCTTTGAATAGTAACGCAAAACTTTAGCAAGAAATGAGCATTTTACATCATTATAAACTCAACTTTTGCATGGTATTAAATCCGGCAGCAACCAGCGGCTTATGTAAATAGATATTTTTTAATTGCTTAAATTGACAATTTAGACCTCAGCCTTGTGAGACGAAAGGAATATAAAAGCACACGACCGAAAAATGTGAACGTTCTATCACAGTTTCTTTAGAATCTTGCATTTCTTCCACAACTCCACCAATACAGACTTTTCAATTCTCACCTACAACTTTAAACATAGTTTCAACTCCAACCAGCACTTGCCCGAACAGAAATAATGCAACTTGAGCAACACTTGCTTAATGAATGGCACTTTTTGCTTAAAAAAGGGTCACTTCTTCGGCTGGTTAAGCGGACGAGACTCGAATAGCTGAAGCGCTGCCAACCATGGAAGCGCAAAGGCTTAACAGTGACTGGTGCAGGAAGCGCGAGCCTCCTGAAGAAAGGAAGATGCGAATAAACCGACGAGAAAACGAAGAATAAAGAGAACACACACATGGATAATGATAATAGCTGGTCACTATCATCAGCTTATCGGGGAGTTTTTGAACTGAACATCTTTAGGTTTATTGATAAAGTATAATAGCGCGGTTATTGTGGAATAAAAATAACTGAATTTCAAAATCATTGTCAGAAAGCGTTCTGAAGAGAAAGAAAATCTGGCGACTTGGGCCTAGGTTGCCAAAATCAGCATCACCCTAGAAAAAAGCTGCCTAATTAATTTGTTGGTCACTGAAACTTAAATCCGGACGTTAAGCCGGCCACCATGCAAAAACGTACTTTTTTTAATAAGTTGTGCACTTCAATCAGCAGTATGGTATTTGTTGAATGAACATCGCATGGTGTCAGATGACCAATCAATCGGCTCGTATCACGAAAGAATTTTTCCGATTTTTCTATTCATATGCAAACCAGCGGCGTTCGTTTGCTTAATCAGTTTCTCAACCCCGTTCCGATACTATCAGGTCAACAATTGATTAAGTGTCAAGGCACCGTGACTAGAAAGCGAAATGGAACATTTTGAGTTGATAAAATGGTGCAAGTAATGAAAAAAGGGCAAAATATAGACAATAGCTTTTATGTAAATTGCCGATAATGTGGTTATTGTGGCTGGTTGGCACTCAGTAAGTATACGTGGTCTGTAATGTTTTTTAACTCATAAAAAACATGTTGCGTTATTGTCGTGAACAACATTGTGAAACGCAAAAATCTCCACAAAAAAACCATGAAAACCTCATATACTCGCAGGCTTTACATTTTCACCAGGCTTTGGCAGCCGGTAAATTTTAGCGATTAAAGCCAGTCAGAAGCACCGAAAGTCCAAATGCAAGTAGAAGACAAAATCTCTCTCCGATCAGTGAGGACGATGAAGTTTTCCTTTTGAAACCTTAAAGTGACGAATAGAGAAAAATGTAGAACCAACAAAGGGAATAAAACACCTCTCACAAGCTTCTAGAATCTTCTCAGTTTTACAACAGACGAAAAGTAGAAGCAATTTAACAAATAAATTTTACACAAAACTACACGCTAAAAATGAAAAAAAAAATTAAACATACAAACTAAACAATATTCCGTAAAATATAAAATGATACAAACGCAGCATCAGAAATTATAATAAAAATGAAACATCGGTAACTTAATATTCACCCAAAATGTCTCATATTTTTAACATTAGAAGAGTTTCAAATAATATAATGTAGAAAAAGTTCCAACAGAAGCAGGAAAGATTGTCGCTTTTAACACAACTTAAAACAAAGTTACGCCACACAAATACGTAAAAACTGCGATGATAAAATGTTTTTAAATCTCCCCATAAATTGTATTTCCTTGTATTTTTGTACTTCTGAGGCTTTTGACAGTTGAGAAAGCTTCAATTAAGCGACTGGAGAAAAAGTTGTAAACTTATAGATGAGCTTAAAGCGATCTTTAACAGCTGAAAGACGATCGATGAGTAGATTGAATAAAAC